GGGGCACCGTGCACACGCTGCCCCGCTGCCGCCTTCCTGAACAGACGCATGCAGGCACGCATGCACAAGCATGTGCACCCACACACCAATACGCTGCCCTCCTAGTCCACCCCATGATGTCGTCCCCGCGTCACCTCTGCCCGTCAGGGCGGTGCCGCGGCCGACGAGGCCTACAGGGCGCTCACCCGCAAGCGCACCCTGGCCAGCCTGCAGAAGGGGCGGTCGGTGGCGGTCATCACGGACCCAAAGGCGGCAACGAAGCTCTACCAGCAGCAGCACCACCGGACGGCGCTCTACGTCAAGCACACACAGGCGAGCATTGGTTCCGGCGGTGGCTTCGGTTGGCCCTGGGTGTGATGGGGCGTAAGGAGGGGCCACGTGGGTGGTCAGTATGGGCCTTGCTCTCGACCCGCCCGCCCCTCCGCACGCCTGGGGGAGAGGGATGAGGGGCTTCCCCAGCACCAAACCTCAGCCCCTTCCAAGGATTGCACGAGGCCCAGACCCAATCGACACCAGCGCTTCGTCCCCTCCTGTGCTCCTCAGCGCCGCCGCTCCTCGCCTGCATGTGACATCGCCCACCGCCCCCGTGGGCCCGAATGCCGCCCTCCCCCTCCCGCTGGCACACACACACACACACACACACACACACGCATGCAGGCTGACAAGGAGGAGTACGAGGCGCGCTCCGCCCGCGAGCTGAAGGGGCCCGCCCTCAACCGCCGCGTGCGCATGGAGCGGCCCGAGCTGGAGCAGGCGCTCTTTGCCCTGTTCGAGCGGCAGCCGCACTGGGCGTTCATGGCGCTGCAGAAGGAGACGGACCAGCCGGGGGGCTGGCTGAGGGAGGTGCTGTCTGAGGTGGCGCTGCAGGTGGGGCGCTGTGCTGTGCTGTGCTGTGCTGTTCTGTGCTGTGCTGTGCTGTGCTGTGCTGTGCTGTTTTCGCGCCTTTGTCTTCCACTGCTGCCGACGGGTGCAGAGGGTGGGCAGGAAGGCAGAGGGAGCAGGCGGCATCGCCGGTGTTCGGCGCACGCGTCGCGGGCGGGTCGCTGCTGCTGTTTGTGGATCTGGCGTGGCGCCAAGTGCATGCAGCGGGGCTTGAGCGCGTCCAGCCAGCCAGGCGCGCTGCAATCCCGCAGCACCAAGGCGTGTGTGAGGGGCCGCCATCCGACCAGCCCGCTTTGCCCCAACGCCACCTCGCTCGAGTGGGCTGGGCTGGGGCGCTCAGCCGCGACGCGGCCCTTCCCGCGTTCGTGCGTTTCAGCGTGTTCCGGGGTGCGCACACCCCCACATCACGCACGCCCGCAGGTCAAGAGGGGCCCACACAAGGATTTGTGGGAGCTGCAGAAGCAGTACAAGGTGGCAGGGGGCGGCGGCGGCGGCAACGGCGGCGGCGGCGCGGTCTGACGCACCCGGGGTTTGCGCTTTTTTTTCCACGCCCTATTTTTGAGACTGGTTTGATCGTCCTGTTTTTGGCAATTTGTTGGGCGTTCAAGGCGCCATGCGTGCGAGCCGTACGGTCGTTGCGCGCTTAGTATCGGCTGGAGCAGCCTGCCATAGTCGGGCACAGCAGCCACATCCAGTCTACAGCCATGCATGTGTTCATGGGGCATGCGAGCGCCTGCGCGTCTGCATCTGGATGCTGGTGGGCATGCGTGGCCGGCCCTTCCGCCATCACCACTTTGATTTGGCTGTTGCGCCCCTATCACCCAGGGTCGCCTGGGCTTTCCCACCCCGCCAGCCAGCAGCGCCCGATATCCGATTATTGGCCTGGGGTATGCTGAGCCCTTTGGCGCCTCCGCCTTGACCTTGGCCGCTTTTTAGCCAGCTGCAACACGCTGGGGAGCCCACCCTGTGCTCGCTCCTCTGATCAGCCAAGTCAACATAAACAAGAAGCCAGATCCAACATCATGAGGTTACAAGGCCGGCCGGCCGCCGAGCAGGGTGGTGGCAGTTCTATGGTATTTTTGCTGCTGGTGGCACACATAGATGTTGTTGGTACAGCCCCGCACGCCGCTAGAAGGCCCGCCACCCCCTGCTGAGCGTGGCGCACCGCCGCCGGGCGCCCCTCCATTTCAAGAGGCGGCGCGGCCGTCGGCGCGGCGGCGGCAGCACGCAGGGAAGGCGCGGGGCAGCGGCAGGGCGCTGGTGGGACAAGGGTACAGATGCTCTGCTGGGAAGGCACGCAACGACGCACGCAGAAAGCACAAAAGCGCGACAGGAGGAAAGTGAGCACGACCATCGCCACAGGCGTCTGCTTGCTGCAGCGCAGAACACACGTGCCTGCAGGAATGGCACCAGGCAGGGGCGAGCGCGTGTGGGATGGGGCACGAAAGCCACCAAAACTGAAGTATTGCGACATATAAATTGGGTGCGGCACACATCAGCAAGCTGAGCGCAGCCCTCGCTCTGCAAATGCTGCTCTGATCGATCACGAGCAAAAACACACACAGTGTGCCTCGGTCGCCAGGCACGCGGCGGGAACTGCGGGCAGGCAGAGAAAGCTGCTGCTGCATTGCACCCACAAATGCAAACGTGAACGATGGGAGATGCCATTCACACAACTTGCATGGCTCGGAAAAAGGCGGGCGCCAAAACCCACGCATGCAGCGACAACCAGCAACCACAGCCCCCAAGAGAGAGCCGTGCAGCGACGAGGCTCGCGCCGGTGCACCACAAGGGCGCGGCTGGCCCCTGGGCGCTGCGGCGGGCGCGGCGAGGCGCGGCCCTGCGGCAGCTGCCGCGCTGGCTGGGGGCGCGGCTTGCGGGAGTGGCTCAGGCACACGCCGCGCGATTTGACGTCTGCAATCAATCGAGGGGGCGAAGAGCGAACACCCTCGGGCGGCGCGTCCCGCCGCGTCGCCGACCCGTCACGCCGCATCCCCCTCGCCCTCGCCGCGCGGCCGCCAGTCCCTGAAGCCGTCAAACCCCCCCACGCCGCCGACACCGCCCCCCGGCCCGCGCAGCTGCTCCAGGCGCAGCTGCAGTGCCGGGGGCAGCGGGACGGACGGGTCCAGCGGCGGCGCGGCGCCGTCGAAGACGGGGCCGGTCATCTCATGGAAGAGGCGGAGGTTGTCGATCAGCTTGTGGGTGACGTGGCACTTGCCGCAGCGCGCAAACACGGTGCCCTGA